ATATTAGTTTAGTATGTGGGAAGTACGCATGATTTTTCTGTTACATATTTATAAATATTAATCCTCAATATTTTTCGAACTTTTTGAAGTGAGTTGGCACTTATTAGAGAGTGGGTGCTAATTAGAGAGAATACAGTATGTGTCCACTCTTCAATACTGTAAGCTTTTTTCTGTGCAAAGAAGTGGGTCATTTTCTTCATTTTGAAAAATTATTAGATATCATTCAAAAGGTCAGATGTGATCTGCCATTTCCACCAAGCCACTGTATATAGCCATCTAATACAGACTTTTATTCACCAGGCTACAGTTTAAGGATTTAAACAGGTTTTAAATATGCCAACACAAATAAATAACTTCATTTATACATTCTACTTTATTTAATTAAGGTCCAAATTCAGTTCAATCATGACAACAATGCAATAACATTGTGCCAATATCAATATAAGAGCATAGAAATTGTAGATTTGTAATAATCTACAAACTGATGTAGTACAATCACTGCAAGAAAAAAATCAAGAAGATCAATATCAATGTCTTAGGGGATAGAAATCACAGTATAGTATTTCAAAATGTACAAGCATTTGCATTGTAAAGAAAAATTGTATCCAGTTGACAAAATGTCTTAGAAAAATCTTAAACTGCCATTCATAAAATATTGTATCTTACTGTAAATATTTAAAAATTGTATACTGCAATGAGTTCATAAAAATACAACCTTGAATCAAAATACAAACATATAAAATGTAAGTTTATATTTTGCAAGGTCTATGAATAAAATGCTATGTTATAAAATTTTACATTGTTTTATACAGTTGGACCATACACATCTATATATAAATCCAAAAAGAATACTCTCAAAGTGTCAGTTTTTAAAAAATCTATGTAAATAGATGTACATTATTTTGAAATGAAATTCAAGATTTGGTTTCAAATGAAAATTGTTTTACATTGCGTCCTTGAACAATGGTTCAAATATTATAAATAATTTACATTAAATATTAGTAACCCATATCTAGATCTCATTAATCAATGATCTGAATTTCAAAATGTACAAACAATATATACTTGTAGTGTAAATTATTTTAGAGTTTCTCTTAGATTCTCACTCAACCCTTGTTACTACTTGTTCAGAACCTTGTCCATGTTGCATAATGCCCCACACACATGCAATATTTGGTCAGAAATATCTTGCAATGTAACAGGCATGACACCAGAGAGGATGTTAAAATTCTTTAGTCTGCCAATAGCTCTTTCAACATGAATTCTGGCCTTAGCGATCCTCCTGGTTTTAGTTACAGCAGGAGCAGAGAGCTGACGGCCATTGGTGAACGGGGGAATGTTCAATGTAGCACCACGTAGTGCAAGCAAATCTCTAATAAGAAAGCCTCGATCTGCCATAATATCGTCCCCATGCTCAACCTTATCCAAAAGTCCAGATGACTGCACTATTTTTTTGTCTGATGTATTTCCACTCCAAAGCTTGCTCATGAAGCTAAATACACCACGGGGTGTTACAGATACTAGTGCTTTGTATGTGTTATGATGTTTGTAGCTAGACCATGTCCTTCTCTGTGAGGTTGGCCGACTGGGTCTCTGAATAAATATTTCTGTACAATCTATTATTCCACGTGTCCTTGGAAAATGTTTCCTAAATGACTTTGGGAGTTTGCGCAATATCTGTTCTTTCTGAGGCCATTTCATCAAAAACTGGAAATAGAACATGAAGTGTGTTCAAACATAGAAAGTATTGGCTCAATAAAAGGTAAAAAGATTGTTGGATATTAACATTTTCATATCATTTATAAATTCAAGGGAAAACAATAGTTTAAGCAAACTTATATATAAGAGTTATATGAAGGTTACTTTTTTTGTAAAAAAAATTAACAAGGCTATCGATTTCGATAGCTTTTTGTACCTGACTGCCCTTTACATTTTTTAAAAAGCAAAACAAATGAGTTATGTTTGATTCTCAATGAATCATACATTACCTGCAGTTCAAAAGCTAAGAAGTTAATCCATGTTGTGAAGGTTTTGCTCACACCTGACTTGGAGATACCAAAAATGTCTGCAGCATGTTGAACATCTATACCTCTCCTCAGTCTCACTAGGGTTAGCAGGTACTGCTCATACACACTTAAATCTCTGTATCTGCCTCTTTGGTGCTGTAAAAGAATATGAAATATTGATTAATTTTATTTTTTTGCTGAACTTCAAATGTTTAGGGCATCTCAAAAGAGTTTTCCATCATAAACAGAAAATATTTCTATCATCTTTTAAGACTCAAGTAAGAAAGAAGTGAACAATAGGGTAAACAGATGAGGGTTAAAGCCATTTCAGCTGCCATTGGCATTTTCAGAATAAAAATTGTCATTATACTTACACCGATATCCTTTGTAGCTTTGCCCTTCCAGAAATTAAGGCGAGATGCTTTATCCTTCAGCAGGGAAAACAGATGAGCCAACTTGAAAAGGGTTAACCCTGGAAAATCATAATATGTTAGTAAATCTACAAATAAATATTTTAAAGCATTTTAATGAGGTGTTTATACTGGTGCGATACAATGATATATGTTTCAGGTTTTGCTTGACATAAACATTCCCTATACATATGGTTACAGAGATATTAAATGATGTTGTACTGCACTGTAATGCTTTGAAATGTAATAACTGTAGTCGTACTCTCATATTGCATATAACTATTTATTGGCCTGTGAAAATGCTCTTAATGTATTGTTATGTGCAGCACTGAAATATCAGTATTGTAAGTTTACCTGTATAGAACTTTGCAGATTTATCATCCTTGGTGATATCATTCAGCAGTAATCTTCTCTTCAGCTTTGGTGTCTCTACCAGCTCAATGTTGCTGTATGGCTTGATATCATCAAACTCAATATATGTCTGTGAAGAAGAGTCTTTCATCTGGAAATAAAAGAGTTTTCAATATTAAACAGATACTTCAGAATTTCTTTTTTGTTAGTAAGTTAGTAAACAAATATTACATTATACAAGTATACAATAGAATTCATTTTCTGAAATAAAATGTTCCTTATACTAAAATGTATAATTATTTTTTCTTCTTTTCTAGATTCTTATATATTTATTGTTGTTTTGAGAGACATCATTTGATTTCAGTGGAAATCATGCATACCAGAGGTTTTGTTTCTCTGAGGATGATGACCTTGGGTTGCAGGGGATCAATGGCATCAGTCCCGCGTTTCCGTGGTGGAACATTTCCCCTTACTGGATTTTCTGCAAAATTACCTTCTTCAGTTTGAGAACCACCTTGAATAATACCTTCATGAATGACAGATGCAGAGACATCAGTACTCGTTGAGATACTGTTAAGGTCGATATCAGGATTGGGGCCAAACAAAGATTGTTTTAGCGGGGGAACATTTTCACCTGGAATAACACCTTCTTGTATATTGTCAGTAGTAGAGTCATTTGCACTTTGTAATGTAAGGCTTGATTTATCAATATCAAACAGTGTAATCTTCTCTACAATCTGTTTTTTGGCTTTAGACCTTTCCGCAGGTGAATCTCTTGCCTTATTTACTCTCAGCCAATGTTGCACCTCAACTGGTGTTGCACCACAAGGGACTGGATTAGGGTAATCTTTTGTGGGGCCTTTTCCCCCAACAAAATGTTGAGAACAAACATAAAAGTCTTTTGTAATATTGTCAGCAGTGATGTGTTTTCGACCCAGTGCTCTTAGCCAAATGTGTGACTGTTCTTTCTTTACTGGATTCTGTGACCATGGCTTTGGAAAAGGATGCCATTTTACACCTTCTAAATGTTCTTCTATCCCTATATTTGAACTCTTGTTACGACATCCACCATAAACACAATACTTTCCAGGCATTGTTATCTCCAGATGTAAATAAGTCCAGATGCAAAGAAAGGTCACGTGACAAGCATTCCAAGTGTATTTTGTACCTCTTCTTGCAATATAGAAATCATCTATCGCCCTGATATTCCAAGATATGATTGATATCAAAGCCTTTTTCATCTGTTCATGCGATATATGTCGGCTGTAGCCATGTCTTAACGATCTATAATAGTTTTGTAAAGCTATTTTGATTTTCGGAAAAAAAACGAAAAAACTAGTCGTACTTCATCCAGTTCGTTATGATTATTGCCTTGTTGCTTTGAGTCCACATTAAGATTTTCTAATACACTGTTACGTACTTTATAACCAGAATAAGTCTGTTTTTAATCTGATCCCTTGAATAAGTAAAACTAATCGATTTTATGAGTCGAATTTTATTTCTCCATTTATTTCAATGGCGCCATATTGGATTGTGGCCCGATGTGATGCAAGCGCATTCTATCGGTCAAGTGAAGCACTAAACCCCCGGGGATTTAGAAACTATACTATTGTCAAGCTTACCCAATAAGTAGGATGTTTTCTGGGAGTAGGTAGTAAAACCAACAACCTAGCTGTCCGTGAAAATCTGAACTGGGACACTGTACACCTTAAGCAAAAATAGAATTTGCAAGAATTTCCTTAAGACTCGAAAATATGAGCAATAACAGATCGTATCAAACGCACCACTGTACCATACATAATTTATATATAAATTATTGATAGTTTACATTTATGCGATATTGTCTCATCTCGTGTGTTTTATGTACTTGTTTTAAAATATTTTGAAACAAATTAAATAATTTTAATTATCAGCCAACATATACCGTTCAATTCCATTCATTTATTTACAGCCAGAAACACCTTTGTCACACCAAGAGTTAAGTTTTCCTGAAATGCTGTACAACATACAATGTGCATGATAACTGGCCAAATGTTTCATTATTTGACTTTGTTATCAGTGAAAAACTAATATTTGAATCAAGGTTAATTCAAGGTTGACATTTGCCGTGGGAGAATATACACATGTTTCCAGAACAAACCTATTTTGACTTGCTTATACAAAGTCAGAATTGAATGCTGTGATAAGGATCTGCCGTAGAAAAGTATATGAAGCAACTAGATATTGATCAGCAATGCAGCAAATCATATTAGCTTATATATTGGGAATCTTAGCTGTCACATCCGGGCAGTTAGAAGAATATGTTGAGGTAAATACTACTTTAGGGCAGTTACGAGGCGAAGTAGTCGATTTTGCTGGTTGGTATCCAGATGGTGTTATAAACACGATGGTTGTGACAGAATGGGCGGGTATTCCATACGCCCAGCCTCCAGTGGGTGATTTAAGATGGCAGCCTCCTGTAGCCATGAGTTCATGGACTGGGGTAAGAGATGCTTTGAATTTCAATGTGATTTGCTACCAGAGAGACATCGATTCGTATTATGGAGTGCCAGTTGAAATATCTGAAGATTGTTTGTATCTGAGCGTCTGGACGCCAGGTGACGCTGTGGATCCATCAAATTTGAACCTAAGTGTCATGTTTTATATCCATGGTGGAGCGTTCCAGTTGGGCACCGGTATGAATCCTCTCCAATTTGGCGGCTACCTTGCTAGTGATCAGAACGTTGTTGTAGTTGGAATAAACTATCGCCTTGGGGTGATGGGGTTCTTCTCCACCGAGGATGACACTGCTCCTGGTAACTACGGACTCATGGACATCATTGAAGCGTTGCGATGGACTAAAGCTAACATTCGGAACTTTGGAGGCAATCCTGACTCAATTACCATATTTGGGCAGTCAGCTGGTGGGGCGGCTGTTTCATATTTGTTACTTTCTCCACCTGCGAATGGTTTGTTCAACAGAGCTATCAGTCAGAGTGGTATAGCAACTATGTATTGGGCCGTAGCTAAAGATTACCTAAGGGAACTATCCGCCTCACTGGCAACCGAAATGAACTGCCCTCCTGATAATTCCCCAGGGATGGTAACGTGCCTAAGAGGCAGGGATCCATGGGAAGTTACTAATACCTCCCTTGAGCTTAATTTAATTTATCAAAATACACGTGATGATACCCAGAGCGTTTTTGCCCCGAGGATAGATGGCAACATTGTTCCCGATGATCCACTGACGCTTTTAGCAAATGGTCAGTTTCAACCAGTGGACTTTATGACTGGTATTACAAGCCACGAGTCCTGGCCATACAGACACATGTGGTATATCATGATCCCTGGGATCAGACGCTGGGTGGAGCGTGGAATTAATTCGGACGATTTCGACCACCTGACGGCACATTGGATGCGATTCCTTAACTACCCTGCCCGTCGAACAGAGGTATTGGCGGCTATAAAACAACAATATGACATAGATTATGATCAAGGAGTAGACAGTTTAGAAAGATCCGCTGGTTATATGAACTTTCTTAGTGACTTCCAATTTATTGCACATAACGATCGATTTGCCCGATTATACGCTGATAGGGCTGGATCGAGTAATGTATTCAACTACTACTTCTCGCCACGGGTGTCCGTGGACCAGCGTGTAATCTGGGAAGCCACGGTGCCAAATTGGATTCTGGCTAGCCACGCTGACGACCTCGCGTTCGTGTTCGGTAAAGCCAAGTATACGATGGAAGACCGGGTGACAGCCGAGGAACGCGATCTGAGTGATGCAATGATGAAAACTTGGGCTGATTTTGCTAAAACAGGGTGGGTGCTAGTAAAATCCAAAGAAATGCGCTCGCAATATACTTCATTGTTAAATTGTTGTTTTTTCAAACAGACCGATTGAATTTATACTAGTTTATATTCGAATATTTAATACGTTTCATGAATTTAATTGAATGTGTAGAATACTATGTATATCCTAATTTCTATGCAGAAATCCGGGTTCACTAGCAGGGGTTGCATGGCCGCCATTTTCGTCAGCAAGCCCCTCATACTTGGACATTACAGCGCCACTGGACAATATTAGCGTCATAACTTCCTTCTTCCCAGAGCGGATGAGTTTTTGGCGGGAAACTATCTGGCCAATTCTAGATAGACCACCAGCAGAAGAGTGATGTCATTCTAAACTACTCGCCGGGAGAGACCAGTGACGTTTAAAGCTTAAAAAACCTCATCATTATCAATTCGTTCTTTTGTGTGATTTGTTCTTAAAATTACATTCTAAGACAATTCTTTAGTTATAAATTACATCTAGTATCTCGTTTCAGTAGATAATCCCGACTACACGGAGAGTTAACATCTAATTTCGGTAAATAGAGAGCTTTCCATGTTTCGGTATAAGTTTTCAGCCGAATTTATACTGCAACTTGAACTTTTAAATGACGAAACCCCCACTGGGGAGGAACATTTCGGAGAAACGAGTAAAGTACTTTCCCTCGTTTCCTAATTGAGGGAATTGATTATAAATATCCCATCAATTACAGTATCAATTTCTAAGTACTACTCATAATTTGAAACCGGAACTCACGAACTAAATACTTGCCATATATTGGAAGAATAAAAGGAGCCTATCTTCGTTTCCAGTTCCTCCCCAATGCTTTACCCGACTTGCCCTCGTCTCGCCATATAGGGGGTGTTACATAACGTGGACTATTAGTACAAAATCTACGAATGTAATGAAGCCTAAATGTGTGTAGGTTAATAAAATTGATTGATTGGTGCTTGATAAAGAAATAACAAACTCAGTAATGTCCGTTTGATAAAGCTAAAATACGGCTTTATCGTTTTATTTAACATTAAATTCAGTCCTACAATTGTGTCTCGTTTCTTCTCAGCATCAGAACTCAAACTAACTTCCACAGCTTGTGCTGTGGTTATATACATCGAAATAGAGCCATCTATACTAAGAAATGAATAACAAAAATATATAACAGCGACATCTATCTGAAAGGCTCAAAGCAGAATTGCTTCGGTAATAAAGTTCATTGATAATAAAGTTCACTGTTACTGTAATTGCTGGGATATTCACAAATTAATTCCCTCTATTAGGAAACGAGGGAAACTACTTTCCTCGTTTACTCGAGAAATGTTCCTCCCCGGGTGGGGTTTTCGTCATTTAGAATTTGAAGTTGCAGTATAAGTTCGGCTGAAAACGTATACCGAAACCCAGAGGGGGAGATCGAAACACCAGGGTTCAAAGATGACATACGCTTATAATGTAAATCTGTATTGAGATGACACGGTCGCTGATTGGTCAAAAGTCGACAAACAAATGACGTCATCAATGGCGGTTTCAAAATTTTCGAAATACGCTTCGAATAATATTATGTTCATTTCTGGCGTGTTAACCAATATCATAGCTTCTCATTTCACATCAAGATAAAGAAAGGTGTACGGAATATGCCTATATCAATTATAACATCCCATCGAAGTGTAGTATTTGATAACTAGCCGATGAAAATTCGAACGAACGAAGGTGGTAAGCAAGAGAGGTAATTATGTCTGTCATCTTGAAACTCTGGGGCTTTCCCTCCTCTTACCGAAACCTCTCTATTATGAAACACCCTGTACAAATACTGGAGAGAGAGCTTGTTATGCACCCATATGGCTTGCTCTATGCATCACTAACACAGATTAGATTGATTACTAATAGTTTATCGAAATGGTAGTCAATAGTGTTCATGTGTTTGATAGAATACTTTACATATTCAGCTTATTAACGTTAGATAGGGCTCGTGGTCAATTGGTCGACACACATGAGTATGTTATCGTTTACATGTACGTGTAGATCCAATACGTTTACCATCATCGTGTATGTGCCTTTTTATACGTTAGACTTATATCTCAACTTAAACTTTTATAAGAACTGTGAAATTATTCACTCGTTCGTGTAATGAACCAGGGTCTTGTTTGTAGAACACCACGCCACAAGAGCTAGATATTGAGTTGATAATGTACAGGTTACAACGATACAGCAGATATTACATTTTCAATCACTAATTGATGAATATGCTTTACAACACGGAAACTATCTATTTCAACTGGGAACAATTAATGAAAATCAATTTCAAATTGATTTTAATATCTGGGATATTCTAGAGAGTGAATAAAATAATATTATTTAGTTTTTTAAAATAGTGCATCTCCTCTTTATTTTGAAATGCATATCTTTCAAATATATTTTGTAAAGACCTGAAATAATTAATCTCATCCGGCTTTTTAACATGTTTAACAAGACCCATTTTTGATATATCTTGCTAAAATATAACATTCAGGGTGACGTCACTCGACTTTTCAAGTTTCACCGTCTCTTAAAATAAAAGCCATTTCACATCAATCATTTCATGTTGTTGGTTTTCCCCTTAAAAATACTTGAAGGGTCTCTGCAATTCTCAGTCTTTGTTCAAAAACATTCTTATCAAATCCCTCATGTTTTAAATGTTCCTGCCAGATTCTATGATAGATTTATGTCTTAATTATTAGACTCCAGATGAAATCTGGAGTCTATTGTTTTCGTCAGTTTTCTTATTCTTATTCTTATTCTTATTATTCTAAACCAGTTTTCTCAATAACCATAAGGTTTTCAGTAAAGTCAGTCATTTGGTCAATTTAGGTCCAGAATCTAGTTCCTCGGAAATTGGGTCAAATTTTTATCTAGGTCAAAGGTCAAGAACTAGGTCAAATCCAGTACTTTGTCACTTTTTTCGATTTTCTCGGTCGTCCTTCAATATTTTCGATCCGGGTTTTTTTCATTGTGTTCCTTATAAAAAAGTAGGAAACTTAAGGTCGATTTAGTTTTTTGATATCTCAAACCGATTTCGAGATATCAGTGTCCGAAAACGAGGTCCAAAAAAAAGTTCTCCAAATCAAATGTCCAGGATATTAGTCTTATAGGAAATTTTCTCAGGATTCCGAATCTGAAAACGAAATTTGGATCTGACTTCCAGTTCGGAAGTTATGGCGTTTTGAAAACTCAAAAATCGCTACATTTGGTGCCCATGTTAAGTCAATGGGAAAAAATATTTTTTTGAAGTGAAAAATACGGAATATAGACTGAGTTCAGCTTCATATAATCAAAGCCTTTAAAAGAAGGGGACCTCAAAAGCCATCTAGCTTCACAATTTGGACACCGAAATGCCTAGGTCAAAATCTAGGTCAAATTCATAGGTTTTCCTTATTTTTTCGATTCTGACACTACACTTTAATTATATTCTTCGAAATTGTGTATACATGTA